TATATATATATATATATATATATATATATATATATCACCTTTTAAAAATAATTTTATTAAAAGAAGCTCTTCTTTCAATAAATACATTATTTTAAATTAATAGAAAGAGTATTACTTTTATAATAAAGTAAAGGTTAGAGAATTAGTGAATTTAAAACCTGTTTTTGATGAATAAATCTTTAGTCATATGTGAAAGGAATAAAAAAGTTAAAACTACTCATTGCCATAATAATAATAATTATTATTATTATTATTATTTTAATTAATTATTTATTTATTTTATTATTATTATTGAAAATCATGCATGTTTACTCGTATTTTATGGTTGTAAAAATATAAAAAAAAAATTAATTACTATTAAAATAAAAGTATTATTATATTTATAAAAAATATATTTTTGAAAAATAATTATAAAAAATAAAAATTTAAAGAATAAAATAATTTATATTAATAAAAGTAAAATTGATAGTAAAATGTATATATAAAAAAGGAATCACTAAAAGTAGTTTTTTTATATATAATTATAAATTATTATTATTATTATCATTATCATGTTAATAATAATGGTGATTACTGTACTTGAACTTTTGACCAAGTCACTATAAGGCTAAATGAATTAACATGGACGGTTTCATTTGAGGTTGTCTTATGCTCAGACATATTTAGTTTATTGAATGTACTAAATAATTAAAAGTTAAAGTATATGTTTTTACGAATGCTTAACTAAATTATAAAATATTATGAGTATCATTAGTAATTTAATTTAGTAGCCACAATCTGATAGTCTGATCGTTTAAACATTTATTTAGACAGTTTTCATATTCTGGGAAAAGTAAAAGTTTGAAGCTTTTGTAAGAGTAAGAATTATAATTAAGGTTGAAATGAATATCGGATGGAACCAGGTTTGCAGATGATGCAATAGAAGACTGGGATGGGAATGTGTATTTCAGCATTGTGAGTACGAAATTTGATATGCATCATTGGCATCTAGATTTCTTAGAGGCAAGACCTCATGGACAACTTTTTAAGTACACTGCAAAATCCAATGAATCTGTTCTTCTTCTCGATAATCTTGCCTTTGCTAATGGAGTTGCACTCTCCAAGGACCAAGATTTTCTTTTGATCTGTGAAACTTGGAGGTACCACTCTATACTTCTTTCACTTTCTTCTGTTATCTGTAATTTTCTTTTGTCTGATGTTAAGTGTTGTGTGAATCAGATATAGGTGTCTGAGGTATTGGTTAAAAGGAGAAAAGAAAGGCAAGACAGATATTTTCGTAGAAAACCTTCCTGGTGCACCTGATAATATCAATCTTGCTCCTGATGGAACCTTCTGGATCGGTTTGATTCAGGTATTATTATTGCTATTAACTTGCTTTCTTGGTGTTAAAATTGGTGTTAATAACTAAAAAGATTGAAAGTGATGTAACAGTTGAGTTCTGAAAGGCTGGAGTTTATGTACAACTACAAGATAACGAAGCACCTGCTAGCTGCATCTCCAAGACTGTTTAACTTTGTGGCTGATCTGAAGAGAAGAGCAAGGGTGGTGAATGTGGGAACTGATGGGAAGATAATTAGGAAGTTTGAAGATGGTGATGGGAAGGTGATTAATTTTGTGACTTCAGCTTTGGAGTTTGAGGAGCATCTTTACTTAGGTAGTCTTAGTTCAAACTTTGTTGGAAAATTACCACTGCATGGTGCATAGAATGGTGAAGTTCAATTCTTGAATAAGGGGCAACCTCTCAGATTGGATCATGCAAAAGAATCATCTCCTTATATGTATGATGCAGAGACTAAGCATATAGGGTAGATAGATGTTCATGATAAGGTCTCCATGTCTTTTCTTTAAGTTTCACTTTACCTTTTTCAAATTCTTAAATCTTTTCAAACTTTAAACATTCATTACTTCAAGGATCTACATTACTTCAAATTATTTTCATGATATTTCAAATTATATCACTGTTTTAAGTAAATTATATGGTCAAACTTTAATGCACTGTAATTAATTAAGCATAAACATTATCTTTCTTTTAAAAAGGATTAACAGTCAAAACTATTGGTAAATGATGCCTTTAGGGAAAAAACTATAACTGTGTTTTCTTTTCGGCCATTAGAATGGAGTTTTCTATCAATTTCAAATTATTAACTACTTATGTCAGTTTTTTTTTCGCCCTCATAACTAGCGTAGATAGCTTTAAGAGACCGACATGTTCTTTATTCAACACACTAAAAATAAAAAGAATAAATAAATAAAAATCATAAAAATATTACATGAACATTGACCTATTCAATTATTTATTCAAAGTTGCTATTGTAAAATAAAAACTCAATCTTGTTGACACTTTAAGCAAAAATATATATTTTATAATTTGATTTGATTGATCATTGGTATTTTTTTAATTTATTTTATACATTTATTATAATATAATTAAAATATAAGTACTCAATTCATTTATTGATAATAATGTTATAACAAATAATTGTTGAAAATTAAAGTATTAATATACTTGGCAAATAAATAAATTACACGTTTAAACATTATTTAACATATTTAAAAAAATCAAATTATCAATTTACATAATTAATAAAACATAATAATAATAAAAATACTAAAACTAATAAAATAGTATTATTAATAGATTACGAGTTAATCTATCTTAAACTTAGTTTAAATCCATTTAGTTCATAAATTTAATTTAATTTGATCCACATTTAAAAAAGCTAATTATTTTCTAAACCAATGATAAGCTGGGTTACATCACATGTGGAACCCACTTGACACTTGTAACTACAAGACTATTTTCCTTGACAAGGAAACTACAAGACTATTTTCCTTGACAAGGATATGCTCCAACAAAAACACCACATCAATGTCCAAATGGAATTTTATGCTTATGAGACAAACTATTCAAACAATACTAATTGATTTATAGAAGCCGAAATTCGCACTTGATATTATGCCACTAAAATCTGAACTTTAATAGTTAGTATCTACAAATGTAAATTTACTGCATCCTCATCCTCTTTTCGATTCTTGAATGCTTCTTTGTGTCATTTAACTGGTCCCCTTTTGTTTTCCTACTATTTAGGAATTCAGAGAAGGATGGTATTTGTGGCAAGTTGGTATTATTAAACGAACAGCTTTCCATTGGCACAATACATGGAGAAGTTTCTGATCTAGCATTGCCAGAGTATTCATTGCTGGTATCTTCTGCACAAGGATCTAAAGTAGGTGGCGGTTTGAAGGGCTGTTCAGCTGGCGTAAGGGACTGTTCAGCTTCAGCAGAAGCATTAATTGCACAAAGTCGGTTCATCAATTCGCTGGAGGTGGCAGTCGTCAGCCATCTTACAGTACTTGCCACTTGCGAATAATAGAATGATTTGCCAGCCTTGCCATACTTCTTGTAGCATTCATCTTCAAGGAAAGATGCTGACGTATCCACTTCAATCCTGAACAAATGTGATAAAAGAATCAGCTGTCGTTGCTTTAATTTAGCTGACATAATTTAAGGTGAATTTATCATCATGTTTGTGGTTGTCATTGTCATTATATTATGCTTAAAGATTTAGTTTTGCTGTTTAAATAATACAACTATGGCACAACAATAATGTCATCTATGAACAAGGTGCTGCTACATGTCAAATAGGTGGGACACATGCTATGGCAAAAACACATTGAGCAACTGAGTGGTGTGTTTTTCTGTTTGGAAAGAGGGAGTGGGACAACAGAACAACAACTCAAAAAGATGAAGCTAAGCATACTTGAAGTCGTCAAGCCGTTGGTGGACCTGTTTAAGAGCATTTTGTAACCTTTGCCTGCTTGATCCTCGCATTGGATCCGAAATAGCATTCTTGTCACCTTTGTTGTTCTGTTATCAAATTAGATGAGTCGGTATAATAATGTATTTTTATTGATCTTAGCAGTAATAATGAACTTCGAAAAAAAAAAAGAGGCAGATACTACAAAAGAACTGTATTGTCTTTCCCAATACAGATTGCTTATAAGAACAGTTTCAGCAATGTTACCACCCAAAGGTGCTAACTATGGAGAATCTACGTTTTTTAACCAACAACGTGAATATAATCCAATAAATTTAAACCTGTTTATAAGTGTTATTATTTCTATAGAAGTTTTCTTCTGCCCGTTGTAACATAGCAAGCTTTTCATTTACTCCCAATCTGGATTGAAGCTTTGACCTGGTTAGGTTGTTGATAACCTCATTACCATCTGCAAGCCAAAATTCACCCACGTAAATTATGGTCTAATAAACACTTGATCTCCCCAAAAGTAAAAACACAGGCAACCAAATAAGTTCTACCTTCTGAATCAGATATATCTTCCTCTGATCCACTTGCTTCCTCTCCCCGATTCCAGAATTCAGATAACTGTTCTCCAGTAGTTGCGGCAGTGGAACTGAAAAATTAAATTTGTCCATAAATAAGAAACTAGATATCATTTAACTGGATTAATGAATATAGTAGAAGGCAATCATCATCAGACCAATAATGAAATACACAAGAATAACCGTAAAGTGTAACTAACAAGAAGTCAGAGCATACAATCCTTATGTTGGACCAAACTACTCAATAATCAATTGTTTTAATTCCATTGCTTTCTTTTTCTTTTCATGTTTATGGGCATATTCAAGAGAGGAAAGTCCCACGGTATTCACACTAAAATGACACAAATTTATGTCAAGCTGTATTAAAGTTCCATCTTTATACCCATATGGTCATATCTGATATCTTTATGTCAAATGAAGTAAGAAAACTAAGCATAGCCTGCATGACACATCTACCATTCATAAATTTTCCTAGCAAAAAATAACTGCTCTACATATTCACAGAATCTGTTTTCAGTGTATCAACTTCAAGTTCAATTCCTAATGCATAAGAGGGTTCTTTACTGATGAATAGCACCTGGTTATAAAAACTCGAGATGAACCATTTTTATGACGCAGAGCACAAACAGTTTTGAGATCCTCCAAACATCGAGCAACTAAGTTTGCATGTCTGCAGGCATCACATGTTTTTCCACATAGTGATGCAGTTACCTGCTTATAACAATTAAAGTTAATAATCCACTTAGGTTAACACGAAGCATGCCACAGATATTTCATTACCTGTTCCCCAAAACTCTCAAGAATTCTTTTCCTGCGGCATCCAGATCCTTCACAGTATTCAACTATCTACAGTCATTTACAAATACATTCCATTATGTAAGTATATAACTGCAAGGTGCAGAGATACTGTGTTAAAAAAAATCACCCAGAGACTAGATGTTACCTGATTGAAAGCAATCAGGGATATTTTGGATGACTCTTCCTGTGAACTAGATGACTTCTTGCTCCCCGATTTACTTAATATAAATTCCTGATACAGATTATAATTTAAGAAAACAGGTATAGTACAGAAAGANAATAATTTATATTAATAAAAGTAAAATTGATAGTAAAATGTATATATAAAAAAGGAATCACTAAAAGTAGTTTTTTTATATATAATTATAAATTATTATTATTATTATCATTATCATGTTAATAATAATGGTGATTACTGTACTTGAACTTTTGACCAAGTCACTACAAGGCTAAATGAATTAACATGGACGGTTTCATTTGAGGTTGTCTTATGCTCAGACATATTTAGTTTATTGAATGTACTAAATAATTAAAAGTTAAAGTATATGTTTTTACGAATGCTTAACTAAATTATAAAATATTATGAGTATCATTAGTAATTTAATTGAGTAGCCACAATCTGATAGTCTGATCGTTTAAACATTTATTTAGACAGTTTTCATATTCTGGGAAAAGTAAAAGTTTGAAGCTTTTGTAAGAGTAAGAATTATAATTAAGGTTGAAATGAATATCGGATGGAACCAGGTTTGCAGATGATGCAATAGAAGACTGGGATGGGAATGTGTATTTCAGCATTGTGAGTACGAAATTTGATATGCATCATTGGCATCTAGATTTCTTAGAGGCAAGACCTCATGGACAACTTTTCAAGTACACTGCAAAATCCAATGAATCTGTTCTTCTTCTCGATAATCTTGCCTTTGCTAATGGAGTTGCACTCTCCAAGGACCAAGATTTTCTTTTGATCTGTGAAACTTGGAGGTACCACTCTATACTTCTTTCACTTTCTTCTGTTATCTGTAATTTTCTTTTGTCTGATGTTAAGTGTTGTGTGAATCAGATATAGGTGTCTGAGGTATTGGTTAAAAGGAGAAAAGAAAGGCAAGACAGATATTTTCGTAGAAAACCTTCCTGGTGCACCTGATAATATCAATCTTGCTCCTGATGGAACCTTCTGGATCGGTTTGATTCAGGTATTATTATTGCTATTAACTTGCTTTCTTGGTGTTAAAATTGGTGTTAATAACTAAAAAGATTGAAAGTGATGTAACAGTTGAGTTCTGAAAGGCTGGAGTTTATGTACAACTACAAGATAACGAAGCACCTGCTAGCTGCATCTCCAAGACTGTTTAACTTTGTGGCTGATCTGAAGAGAAGAGCAAGGGTGGTGAATGTGGGAACTGATGGGAAGATAATTAGGAAGTTTGAAGATGGTGATGGGAAGGTGATTAATTTTGTGACTTCAGCTTTGGAGTTTGAGGAGCATCTTTACTTAGGTAGTCTTAGTTCAAACTTTGTTGGAAAATTACCACTGCATGGTGCATAGAATGGTGAAGTTCAATTCTTGAATAAGGGGCAACCTCTCAGATTGGATCATGCAAAAGAATCATCTCCTTATATGTATGATGCAGAGACTAAGCATATAGGGTAGATAGATGTTCATGATAAGGTCTCCATGTCTTTTCTTTAAGTTTCACTTTACCTTTTTCAAATTCTTAAATCTTTTCAAACTTTAAACATTCATTACTTCAAGGATCTACATTACTTCAAATTATTTTCATGATATTTCAAATTATATCACTGTTTTAAGTAAATTATATGGTCAAACTTTAATGCACTGTAATTAATTAAGCATAAACATTATCTTTCTTTTAAAAAGGATTAACAGTCAAAACTATTGGAAAATGATGCCTTCAGGGAAAAAACTATAACTGTGTTTTCTTTTCGGCCATTAGAATGGAGTTTTCTATCAATTTCAAATTATTAACTACTTATGTCAGTTTTTTTTTCGCCCTCATAACTAGCGTAGATAGCTTTAAGAGACCGACATGTTCTTTATTCAACACACTAAAAATAAAAAGAATAAATAAATAAAAATCATAAAAATATTACATGAACATTGACCTATTCAATTATTTATTCAAAGTTGCTATTGTAAAATAAAAACTCAATCTTGTTGACACTTTAAGCAAAAATATATATTTTATAATTTGATTTGATTGATCATTGGTATTTTTTTAATTTATTTTATACATTTATTATAATATAATTAAAATATAAGTACTCAATTCATTTATTGATAATAATGTTATAACAAATAATTGTTGAAAATTAAAGTATTAATATACTTGGCAAATAAATAAATTACACGTTTAAACATTATTTAACATATTTAAAAAAATCAAATTATCAATTTACATAATTAATAAAACATAATAATAATAAAAATACTAAAACTAATAAAATATAGTATTATTAATAGATTACGAGTATATCTTAAACTTAGTTTAAATCCATTTAGTTCATAAATTTAATTTAATTTGATCCACATTTAAAAAAGCTAATTATTTTCTAAACCAATGATAAGCTGGGTTACCTCACATGTGGAACCCACTTGACACTTGTAACTACAAGACTATTTTCCTTGACAAGGATATGCTCCAACAAAAACACTGCATCAATGTCCAAATGGAATTTTATGCTTATGAGACAAACTATTCAAACAATACTAATTGATTTATAGAAGCCGAAATTGGCACTTGATATTATGCCACTAAAATCTGAACTTTAATAGTTAGTATCTACAAATGTAAATTTACTGCATCCTCATCCTCTTTTCGATTCTTGAATGCTTCTTTGTGTCATTTAACTGGTCCCCTTTTGTTTTCCTACTATTTAGGAATTCAGAGAAGGATGGTATTTGTGGCAAGTTGGTATTATTAAACGAACAGCTTTCCATTGGCACAATACATGGAGAAGTTTCTGATCTAGCATTGCCAGAGTATTCATTGCTGGTATCTTCTGCACAAGGATCTAAAGTAGGTGGCGGTTTGAAGGGCTGTTCAGCTGGCGTAAGGGACTGTTCAGCTTCAGCAGAAGCATTAATTGCACAAAGTCGGTTCATCAATTCGCTGGAGGTGGCAGTCGTCAGCCATCTTACAGTACTTGCCACTTGCGAATAATAGAATGATTTGCCAGCCTTGCCATACTTCTTGTAGCATTCATCTTCAAGGAAAGATGCTGACGTATCCACTTCAATCCTGAACAAATGTGATAAAAGAATCAGCTGTCGTTGCTTTAATTTAGCTGACATAATTTAAGGTGAATTTATCATCATGTTTGTGGTTGTCATTGTCATTATATTATGCTTAAAGATTTAGTTTTGCTGTTTAAATAATACAACTATGGCACAACAATAATGTCATCTATGAACAAGGTGCTGCTACATGTCAAATAGGTGGGACACATGCTATGGCAAAAACACATTGAGCAACTGAGTGGTGTGTTTTTCTGTTTGGAAAGAGGGAGTGGGACAACAGAACAACAACTCAAAAAGATGAAGCTAAGCATACTTGAAGTCGTCAAGCCGTTGGTGGACCTGTTTAAGAGCATTTTGTAACCTTTGCCTGCTTGATCCTCGCATTGGATCCGAAATAGCATTCTTGTCACCTTTGTTGTTCTGTTATCAAATTAGATGAGTCGGTATAATAATGTATTTTTATTGATCTTAGCAGTAATAATGAACTTCGAAAAAAAAAAAGAGGCAGATACTACAAAAGAACTGTATTGTCTTTCCCAATACAGATTGCTTATAAGAACAGTTTCAGCAATGTTACCACCCAAAGGTGCTAACTATGGAGAATCTACGTTTTTTAACCAACAACGTGAATATAATCCAATAAAGATAAACCTGTTTATAAGTGTTATTATTTCTATAGAAGTTTTCTTCTGCCCGTTGTAACATAGCAAGCTTCTCATTTACTCCCAATCTGGATTGAAGCTTTGACCTGGTTAGGTTGTTGATAACCTCATTACCATCTGCAAGCCAAAATTCACCCACGTAAATTATGGTCTAATAAACACTTGATCTCCCCAAAAGTAAAAACACAGGCAACCAAATAAGTTCTACCTTCTGAATCAGATATATCTTCCTCTGATCCACTTGCTTCCTCTCCCCGATTCCAGAATTCAGATAACTGTTCTCCAGTAGTTGCGGCAGTGGAACTGAAAAATTAAATTTGTCCATAAATAAGAAACTAGATATCATTTAACTGGATTAATGAATATAGTAGAAGGCAATCATCATCAGACCAATAATGAAATACACAAGAATAACCGTAAAGTGTAACTAACAAGAAGTCAGAGCATACAATCCTTATGTTGGACCAAACTACTCAATAATCAATTGTTTTAATTCCATTGCTTTCTTTTTCTTTTCATGTTTATGGGCATATTCAAGAGAGGAAAGTCCCACGGTATTCACACTAAAATGACACAAATTTATGTCAAGCTGTATTAAAGTTCCATCTTTATACCCATATGGTCATATCTGATATCTTTATGTCAAATGAAGTAAGAAAACTAAGCATAGCCTGCATGACACATCTACCATTCATAAATTTTCCTAGCAAAAAATAACTGCTCTACATATTCACAGAATCTGTTTTCAGTGTATCAACTTCAAGTTCAATTCCTAATGCATAAGAGGGTTCTTTACTGATGAATAGCACCTGGTTATAAAAACTCGAGATGAACCATTTTTATGACGCAGAGCACAAACAGTTTTGAGATCCTCCAAACATCGAGCAACTAAGTTTGCATGTCTGCAGGCATCACATGTTTTTCCACATAGTGATGCAGTTACCTGCTTATAACAATTAAAGTTAATAATCCACTTAGGTTAACACGAAGCATGCCACAGATATTTCATTACCTGTTCCCCAAAACTCTCAAGAATTCTTTTCCTGCGGCATCCAGATCCTTCACAGTATTCAACTATCTACAGTCAATTACAAATACATTCCATTACGTAAGTATATAACGGCAAGGTGCAGAGATACTGTGTTAAAAAAAATCACCCAGAGACTAGATGTTACCTGATTGAAAGCAATCAGGGATATTTTGGATGACTCTTCCTGTGAACTAGATGACTTCTTGCTCCCCGATTTACTTAATATAAATTCCTGATACAGATTATAATTTAAGAAAACAGGTATAGTACAGAAAGAGTAAAGTCTCTAGTAAGCCAACCATTCTTTTGCGATCGTCTATCCCATAGTACAACAGACTTCTAGATGGCAATTGATCACGACCAGCTCGGCCGGACTCTTGATAGAATGCTTCCATTGACTTGGGAATATTGAAATGGCAAACAATTCTGACATCCTTTCTATCAATGCCCTGTAAATTTGATCTCAAGTTATAACCAGCAAAGCACAAGTATAATAAATAAAGATTACAATATTAAAACATCAAAAAATTTTAATCACACCAATAGTAAATCACCACTTACCATTCTAAATGAAGACCAAAGGCTCAGTAACTACATGCAACAGCACAGCTCCAGGCAAAGATTAGGAAGAATGGAAAGAAATATATCACAACCTCAAATAAATCAAAATCTATTTGCATCATACTAAAATCAGAAAAGGATGTAGATATATTTTAACACAAGTGAAAATATTCATACTCAGATTTCTAATTACATTTTTGTTCCTCACACTTTGACCCATTCTGCTACACATTGTAAGAAAATAAAATTAATTTTAGTAATTTATTGTATTTTAATCTATCAATATTATTTTCAATCTCTATACAAGCCAAATCAACATTGGACTAAGGAATGTGAAAGAATAGTTAACAGCATGCTTGCGCACCATCATGGCTCCATGGCCCTTGGTCTCTACAAAAGTCCCATCACAGAGCATTTTAGCTTGGTAGATGTCGCACCAAGTATCATGCCAGAAATCATTGTAATCCGTAGATCTTATGGCCACTACTATGAACAGGGCCACAAAATTCATCAACCCCCCACAGCACACACCAACATGTAATGGCATGCTTCAAAGAAATAATTGCATGAGATACAAACATAAAAAGGGAAAAACATACCCAAAAGCCACAGTAGCAACAATAACTTTTATCTTAGAAGAAATCCAATCATCTAACACCGAAGTTCGCATTTTATTATTCAATCCTGCATGATAAGCTGAAAAGACCCAAAATAAAATATACTATGTGAACTTATAGGTGTAGAAAATCAATTAGTAAAGGCAGAAAAATATGTAAAAGAGGGAGTACCAGCACATGAAATACCACTTTGGGATAGATTACTTGATAAGTCATCACACATTGAACGTTCAAGGCAATACACTATTGCACAGACATCTCCCAGAGATTTGAGTGTATTAGATAAATCAGCAAAAGCATCATCCAATAGATCTTTGTATCTAACTGTATCATCAAGAATTGAAGTCACATTTGTTTGAGTAAATTATAAGCTTCATCTCATGCAAAATCAACATCTAGAGAAATAGAACTCATGCAGTAACTTGAATGTTTACAATAGCCGAAATGGAATAGCATATTCTTTTGCTTTCTTCTATCCTCTGTCATTGTATCTTCATTATTAAGGGGAGCATAGACTGTTAGGACATAGGGTATTTGTATATAATGGGAAAGGGGATTAGGATAGGTGGCAGAGGAGTTGTATAAATAGTTGTTTGTTTAGTGGAGGGGGGACTTTTGGCAGTTAGATTGTTGACAGGCTTTGTCCTGTGGAGGGGGTTAAGCCCTTTGTATCTGTAGTTGCACAGACCATTCTTTTGTGAATAATACTCAGTTTAATCCTTTTTTCTCTATTGTGTAACTGTTACGTGTGGTGTTTGGAGCGTTCTTGATTAGGTTTCTCTTTCGGAAACCTATCATAGACAAACACTTATGTACTGTGTGGATTTATTTATTACTTATTGCACCAGTCACATTACATGTCACATGGGACAACCATATTTCACCGTTACTAGCATAGAAATTATGTCACAAGTTTAATTGATTTCAGATATGAATCATTCAGCAAAGCAGAACTGACCTTCATAATATATATTTGGACGATTAAATGAAGACTTGAGTATTAATGGATTTTGCATCCGCAAGGATTCAACTACATCCTTCTGAACCCTACAGAAAAAGAACATCCAGGGAATCAATGCCGCATGTCATTCTCATTTGTCTCCCCTCAACACATAAAAATTTTACATCAGAACAAAAGAGAATGCGTGCACCAAAAATATAACCCAGAATGTGCAATGATCGTTGTGGTAAGCAGGGCACTTGACAGAACAAGCCAAAAATTATTTGGTCATTAAATAATAGCAAAAAATTCTTCCACAATACAAAATATACTGGAGGTTACTACATTTATATATTTACACAAGCTAGGATAAGTTTACACAAGGTGTAAGATTTAGTTAAATTATGCCTTCAATAACCTTTTATAGAATGCAAATTTAATTGTTCTATTCATACACTCTGTAGTGATCATGCTCGTAAATATCTCTACCATTCTTCTATTCCTTATAACGTCACTTAATGGATAATATTCTATTTAAAAATATGTAAATTTTTATTATTAGATAACATATCTATACAAATTTTAAATCATATGAAATATGATAAACATGATCATTAAGATAGAAAACTTCATCGGTTGGATCAACTACATTTNTATAAGTGTTATTATTTCTATAGAAGTTTTCTTCTGCCCGTTGTAACATAGCAAGCTTCTCATTTACTCCCAATCTGGATTGAAGCTTTGACCTGGTTAGGTTGTTGATAACCTCATTACCATCTGCAAGCCAAAATTCACCCACGTAAATTATGGTCTAATAAACACTTGATCTCCCCAAAAGTAAAAACACAGGCAACCAAATAAGTTCTACCTTCTGAATCAGATATATCTTCCTCTGATCCACTTGCTTCCTCTCCCCGATTCCAGAATTCAGATAACTGTTCTCCAGTAGTTGCGGCAGTGGAACTGAAAAATTAAATTTGTCCATAAATAAGAAACTAGATATCATTTAACTGGATTAATGAATATAGTAGAAGGCAATCATCATCAGACCAATAATGAAATACACAAGAATAACCGTAAAGTGTAACTAACAAGAAGTCAGAGCATACAATCCTTATGTTGGACCAAACTACTCAATAATCAATTGTTTTAATTCCATTGCTTTCTTTTTCTTTTCATGTTTATGGGCATATTCAAGAGAGGAAAGTCCCACGGTATTCACACTAAAATGACACAAATTTATGTCAAGCTGTATTAAAGTTCCATCTTTATACCCATATGGTCATATCTGATATCTTTATGTCAAATGAAGTAAGAAAACTAAGCATAGCCTGCATGACACATCTACCATTCATAAATTTTCCTAGCAAAAAATAACTGCTCTACATATTCACAGAATCTGTTTTCAGTGTATCAACTTCAAGTTCAATTCCTAATGCATAAGAGGGTTCTTTACTGATGAATAGCACCTGGTTATAAAAACTCGAGATGAACCATTTTTATGACGCAGAGCACAAACAGTTTTGAGATCCTCCAAACATCGAGCAACTAAGTTTGCATGTCTGCAGGCATCACATGTTTTTCCACATAGTGATGCAGTTACCTGCTTATAACAATTAAAGTTAATAATCCACTTAGGTTAACACGAAGCATGCCACAGATATTTCATTACCTGTTCCCCAAAACTCTCAAGAATTCTTTTCCTGCGGCATCCAGATCCTTCACAGTATTCAACTATCTACAGTCAATTACAAATACATTCCATTACGTAAGTATATAACGGCAAGGTGCAGAGATACTGTGTTAAAAAAAATCACCCAGAGACTAGATGTTACCTGATTGAAAGCAATCAGGGATATTTTGGATGACTCTTCCTGTGAACTAGATGACTTCTTGCTCCCCGATTTACTTAATATAAATTCCTGATACAGATTATAATTTAAGAAAACAGGTATAGTACAGAAAGAGTAAAGTCTCTAGTAAGCCAACCATTCTTTTGCGATCGTCTATCCCATAGTACAACAGACTTCTAGATGGCAATTGATCACGACCAGCTCGGCCGGACTCTTGATAGAATGCTTCCATTGACTTGGGAATATTGAAATGGCAAACAATTCTGACATCCTTTCTATCAATGCCCTGTAAATTTGATCTCAAGTTATAACCAGCAAAGCACAAGTATAATAAATAAAGATTACAATATTAAAACATCAAAAAATTTTAATCACACCAATAGTAAATCACCACTTACCATTCTAAATGAAGACCAAAGGCTCAGTAACTACATGCAACAGCACAGCTCCAGGCAAAGATTAGGAAGAATGGAAAGAAATATATCACAACCTCAAATAAATCAAAATCTATTTGCATCATACTAAAATCAGAAAAGGATGTAGATATATTTTAACACAAGTGAAAATATTCATACTCAGATTTCTAATTACATTTTTGTTCCTCACACTTTGACCCATTCTGCTACACATTGTAAGAAAATAAAATTAATTTTAGTAATTTATTGTATTTTAATCTATCAATATTATTTTCAATCTCTATACAAGCCAAATCAACATTGGACTAAGGAATGTGAAAGAATAGTTAACAGCATGCTTGCGCACCATCATGGCTCCATGGCCCTTGGTCTCTACAAAAGTCCCATCACAGAGCATTTTAGCTTGGTAGATGTCGCACCAAGTATCATGCCAGAAATCATTGTAATCCGTAGATCTTATGGCCACTACTATGAACAGGGCCACAAAATTCATCAACCCCCCACAGCACACACCAACATGTAATGGCATGCTTCAAAGAAATAATTGCATGAGATACAAACATAAAAAGGGAAAAACATACCCAAAAGCCACAGTAGCAACAATAACTTTTATCTTAGAAGAAATCCAATCATCTAACACCGAAGTTCGCATTTTATTATTCAATCCTGCATGATAAGCTGAAAAGACCCAAAATAAAATATACTATGTGAACTTATAGGTGTAGAAAATCAATTAGTAAAGGCAGAAAAATATGTAAAAGAGGGAGTACCAGCACATGAAATACCACTTTGGGATAGATTACTTGATAAGTCATCACACATTGAACGTTCAAGGCAATACACTATTGCACAGACATCTCCCAGAGATTTGAGTGTATTAGATAAATCAGCAAAAGCATCATCCAATAGATCTTTGTATCTAACTGTATCATCAAGAATTGAAGTCACATTTGTTTGAGTAAATTATAAGCTTCATCTCATGCAAAATCAACACCTAGAGAAATAGAACTCATGCAGTAACTTGAATGTTTACAATAGCCGAAATGGAATAGCATATTCTTTTGCTTTCTTCTATCCTCTGTCATTGTATCTTCATTATTAAGGGGAGCATAGACTGTTAGGACATAGGGTATTTGTATATAATGGGAAAGGGGATTAGGATAGGAGGCAGAGGAGTTGTATAAATAGTTGTTTGTTTAGTGGAGGGGGGACTTTTGGCAGTTAGATTGTTGACAGGCTTTGTCCTGTGGAGGGGGTTAAGCCCTTTGTATCTGTAGTTGCACAGACCATTCTTTTGTGAATAATACTCAGTTTAATCCTTTTTTCTCTATTGTGTAACTGTTACGTGTGGTGTTTGGAGCGTTCTTGATTAGGTTTCTCTTTCGGAAACCTATCATAGACAAACACTTATGTACTGTGTGGATTTATTTATTACTTATTGCACCAGTCACATTACATGTCACATGGGACAACCATATTTCACCGTTACTAGCATAGAAATTATGTCACAAGTTTAATTGATTTCAGATATGAATCATTCAGCAAAGCAGAACTGACCTTCATAATATATATTTGGACGATTAAATGAAGACTTGAGTATTAATGGATTTTGCATCCGCAAGGATTCAACTACATCCTTCTGAACCCTACAGAAAAAGAACATCCAGGGAATCAATGCCGCATGTCATTCTCATTTGTCTCCCCTCAACACATAAAAATTTTACATCAGAACAAAAGAGAATGCGTGCACCAAAAATATAACCCAGAATGTGCAATGATCGTTGTGGTAAGCAGGGCACTTGACAGAACAAGCCAAAAATTATTTGGTCATTAAATAATAGCAAAAAATTCTTCCACAATACAAAATATACTGGAGGTTACTACATTTATATATTTACACAAGCTAGGATAAGTTTACACAAGGTGTAAGATTTAGTTAAATTATGCCTTCAATAACCTTTTATAGAATGCAAATTTAATTGTTCTATTCATACACTCTGTAGTGATCATGCTCGTAAATATCTCTACCATTCTTCTATTCCTTATAACGTCACTTAATGGATAATATTCTATTTAAAAATATGTAAATTTTTATTATTAGATAACATATCTATACAAATTTTAAATCATATGAAATATGATAAACATGATCATTAAGATAGAAAACTTCATCGGTTGGATCAACTACATTTGTATTCTATGAAAAGTTATTGAAGGTTTGATTTTGACTAAGTTTTATACTTGGTGTAAACAGATAGTAACTCTCTTTCATCTATCTCACTTATAGGAGAATAGCAATTGCAAAACCATGTGAAAATTGACAAATTAATGTTCAAAAGAATATACAAGCTTGAAAAAGCATAAGCTTGAATATAAAATGCAAATATGAACAAATTAAAACATGACAAAATAAAAAGCAAATTATATCAAAGAAATTAAATTAAGAAAACTCACTTTGGCGCAGCAGTAGCAGTCAAAGCTAATATTGGTACATCTGGTAGGTGGCTTCTCAAAGATGAAAGCTTACGGTAGCTAGGTCTGCTCCAAAATAGGGAAGGAAAAGAGAATTGTGTATCATGATAATAAATTCTAATCTATATGTATATATGGGAAATTAAACACAAACACCCCAAAATTAATCAAATCTTCAGATATTGGATAAAGAAAATCCAAAAGGCAAAGATAATTGAAACATTAATGGAGTTCAGCTGGAACCTATTGAAGCACAATCAGGCACTTACCAAATTAATGTTATAAGTTTAGCACTAGGATAAAAGTAAATATAAAAATCAAGCATTTACACATGTGAACAGAGAAGAGAGGATGGATCTAATTAGGCAAGGCACTACAAAAATATTAACTATATACAATTTATTGTCCTAGCAGAAAGAAACATATGAGTCCTATAAGATAATCATGAAAGAATTCTACCATGACAACAAACTCCAATTGGCTTGTTGCAGAAAGCAGAATGTATGACAAACCTGAAATCATGACCCCAACTTGAGATGCAATGCGCCTGAAAATTTTGCACGAGCGAAACTACTAAGAAACCAAGTAAATTCCCGTAGATAAAAAATTTGAAATGGTCTTCCCAGCACACACCTCATCTATGGCAATGAGATTTAGCAGCCCCCTAGTATAAATCTTTGTGAGCTTTGACATAAACCCTGGTGTTGCTATTAACTCTGGAGTCACATATAGCAGCCTTGTAGAAGGTTTTCCAGAATCAAGGTCCTCGAGAATCTTAAATCATAAAAGGTATAAATCACTTTCCTGAATCAATAACACTAGGGAACACTGAGGAATTGGGCACATATGGACTTAGCTCCTCTAAACTCTAACGTGAAGAGATTAGTAAAAAAGTAGGTTTTATGCAACACGGATTTCAATTATAACATTTTCATGAATATAAATTGATAGATAATTTCTCGCTTTACACACTATAAGAACTTTGGTATCATGGGGTGCCTAACTCCCAACATGGAGAGGACTTTTGAGGGTGGGTTTCCCAAGTGTTTGGATACTTATCAATATCTCTTTACGTTAAAGGGGCTAAAGTTATTACACATGCATATATATTAATTTGGCATGGATTCTTTCCCTTTCCCCGAACAAAAAATACATTTATATACAGACAAAGACACTATTCATGTTAAATAGATGTACCAAACTAATTGCAATGTAAACAACTCCACGATCTGGAAAATATCATTGAGATTATTGTAATTGTTACATAACTTACACTTCTGTTTCACTTCGATATGTGTAGATATATTATCACAGTAAAGATAGCGATGAGCCTTGATGCAATAATAAAGTTACTTCCTTTTAAGGTGATAGAATCAGTCATGATTGAAATCCTAGTATCAGTCACACTGCACTGCTTCCAAGGCGAGACAGCTTACATCTAAACCAGACCCCACTATGTTTGATTATCGTGCATCAGATTGCCTATCATAAAAAGTCAGCATTTTAACAACTTACTCACCTTTACTTTAGCATCCGCTGTTTTTGTTGAGGAGAGAAAATCTGCTGCAATCCCTTTCTCTTTCAGTGCCATTACTTGGTTTTCCTAACTTGTAGAAAGGGAAAAAAATCAGCCAAAACAAACTCTAAACTCAGAAAATCAACATTTCTGAAAATCAAGTGAATTACCAAAAGATGCCTACCATTAAGGCTGTCAGCAGAACAAAAGTCAGACATCACAGTAGTATCCTAGCATAAAAAATTATGAGAATTACCAAGCAGCAACAAGCACAGCTAAAGACACAACATGTACACAAGAAGAAAGCCATCCACCTATTAAAGGAGATACAACGAGCACAATTCCTGGTTTTGCCAATGCAGGGATCTGATAACACATTGACTTGCCTCCCCCAGTCGGCATAAGACAAAAACAATCCTTTCCTGCATAAAAAGAGTCCAAAATCAATGGAAAATTCCAACTCAAATTACCATTCTTAAGCAAAGAGTCACTTTTAGTATAAAAAGAACAGGACTTGAATTGAAACCGTTACTTTACACTAATCAACAGTCTCTGAGGCACCAATTACTACAAAACACGAAGGAAAATATCATAGTTCACTTCTATGCTTGTAGAAAGGAAAAGGTGAATGCACCTGAAAGCACCGACTGAATAGCGTCCAATTGCATGCCCCTAAAATCAGGGTACCCAAAATGCCATCTTAGAAGCTTCACCAATGTTTCCTTGCTGCGCACTTCCTTCCTCTTTCTGTTCGCATTCGCGTCGCTCAGTGGCAATGTCGACTTCTTCTGCATTTCAGTTCCAACCTGCCAAATAAGAAAAAAAAAATTATCGACAAATTCTTCAGCGGAAGAATTAGGAATAAAATCCTTTGAAAGTGCACCGAAAGCTCGCACCTTTGATAGAAGGGTTTCGCAAATTGATCGGTGCAAAGCCTTTCGCGGGTTTTTCTTTCTTCCAATGGATCAAAAAAAAAAAATACGTGTGACGCGCTGTAAAAGAAAAGGGATAAAACGTTTTGTATTGAGGTACACTCCGCGGGGGCTTTTAAAAACCTGATTGTTAATATAAGATTTGCTCATAGGAGTACAAATGTGAACCATAAAAAGACCATGTGTCTCAATAAAAGAGAATAACAATACAAAATGGATACTTGTAGTTGAAAATGATTTCTCTAAGTGGATACTTTATCAAATATTATTTGTCCCATTAAAAATAATATTGTATAATATTGTAATAATTAGAAAAAATAATGAATAATAAGTTGAATGTTTAGTTTTATTTAATTTTATCACAATTCTATAATATTGTATGAATCGTTTAATTCTGTTAAACTATATTTCATTGTGTGAATTTTAACAACTTTTAGTCAATGTACAAAAAAGTATTTATTTGTGAAGAAATAGTTTAAAATAAATAAAATATCACAACGAATGAATATTTTCTCGTGACAATATTTATTTTGTAAATATTTGTGACGAGCAACACTTTATCATATAAGTTGCTATAAAATTATGTTGATAATAAAATGTTGTAATGTCAAATGTTGTTTACTAAAATTATATATCACAAACGTCTTTATAAAATGTAATTTTTTTTCTTAAGTGGCAAATAAAGAGTTCTTCACTTATGACAAATACATTGACATTATAAACCAAAAATTTATAAGAANGTTTCCCAAGTGTTTGGATACTTATCAATATCTCTTTACGTTAAAGGGGCTAAAGTTATTACACATGCATATATATTAATTTGGCATGGATTCTTTCCCTTTCCCCGAACAAAAAATACATTTATATACAGACAAAGACACTATTCATGTTAAATAGATGTACCAAACTAATTGCAATGTAAACAACTCCACGATCTGGAAAATATCATTGAGATTATTGTAATTGTTACATTACTTACACTTCTGTTTCACTTCGATATGTGTAGATATATTATTACAGTAAAGATAGCGATGAGCCTTGATGCAATAATAAAGTTACTTCCTTTTAAGGTGATAGAATCAGTCATGATTGAAATCCTAGTATCAGTCACACTGCACTGCTTCCAAGGCGAGACAGCTTACATCTAAACCAGACCCCACTATGTTTGATTATCGTGCATCAGATTGCCTATCATAAAAAGTCAGCATTTTAACAACTTACTCACCTTTACTTTAGCATCCGCTGTTTTTGTTGAGGAGAGAAAATCTGCTGCAATCCCTTTCTCTTTCAGTGCCATTACTTGGTTTTCCTAACTTGTAGAAAGGGAAAAAAATCAGCCAAAACAAACTCTAAACTCATAAAATCAACATTTCTGAAAATCAAGTGAATTACCAAAAGATGCCTACCATTAAGGCTGTCAGCAGAACAAAAGTCAGACATCACAGTAGTATCCTAGCATAAAAAATTATGAGAATTACCAAGCAGCAACAAGCACAGCTAAAGACACAACATGTACACAAGAAGAAAGCCATCCACCTATTAAAGGAGATACAACGAGCACAATTCCTGGTTTTGCCAATGCAGGGATCTGATAACACATTGACTTGCCTCCCCCAGTCGGCATAAGACAAAAACAATCCTTTCCTGCATAAAAAGAGTCCAAAATCAATGGAAAATTCCAACTCAAATTACCATTCTTAAGCAAAGAGTCACTTTTAGTATAAAAAGAACAGGACTTGAATTGAAACCGTTACTTTACACTAATCAACAGTCTCTGAGGCACCAATTACTACAAAACACGAAGGAAAATATCATAGTTCACTTCTATGCTTGTAGAAAGGAAAAGGTGAATGCACCTGAAAGCACCGACTGAATAGCGTCCAATTGCATGCCCCTAAAATCAGGGTACCCAAAATGCCATCTTAGAAGCTTCACCAATGTTTCCTTGCTGCGCACTTCCTTCCTCTTTCTGTTCGCATTCGCGTCGCTCAGTGGCAATGTCGACTTCTTCTGCATTTCAGTTCCAACCTGNATTATTAGATAACATATCTATACAAATTTTAAATCATATGAAATATGATAAACATGATCATTAAGATAGAAAACTTCATCGGTTGGATCAACTACATTTGTATTCTTTGAAAAGTTATTGAAGGTTTGATTTTGACTAAGTTTTATACTTGGTGTAAACAGATAGTAACTCTCTTTCATCTATCTCACTTATAGGAGAATAGCAATTGCAAAACCATGTGAAAATTGACAAATTAATGTTCAAAAGAATATACAAGCTTGAAAAAGCATAAGCTTGAATATAAAATGCAAATATGAACAAATTAAAACATGACAAAATAAAAAGCAAATTATATCAAAGAAATTAAATTAAGAAAACTCACTTTGGCGCAGCAGTAGCAGTCAAAGCTAATATTGGTACATCTGGTAGGTGGCTTCTCAAAGATGAAAGCTTACGGTAGCTAGGTCTGCTCCAAAATAGGGAAGGAAAAGAGAATTGTGTATCATGATAATAAATTCTAATCTATATGTATATATGGGAAATTAAACACAAACACCCCAAAATTAATCAAATCTTCAGATATTGGATAAAGAAAATCCAAAAGGCAAAGATAATTGAAACATTAATGGAGTTCAGCTGGAACCTATTGAAGCACAATCAGGCACTTACCAAATTAATGTTATAAGTTTAGCACTAGGATAAAAGTAAATATAAAAATCAAGCATTTACACATGTGAACAGAGAAGAGAGGATGGATCTAATTAGGCAAGGCACTACAAAAATATTAACTATATACAATTTATTGTCCTAGCAGAAAGAAACATATGAGTCCTATAAGATAATCATGAAAGAATTCTACCATGACAACAAACTCCAATTGGCTTGTTGCAGAAAGCAGAATGTATGACAAACCTGAAATCATGACCCCAACTTGAGATGCAATGCGCCTGAAAATTTTGCACGAGCGAAACTACTAAGAAACCAAGTAAATTCCCGTAGATAAAAAATTTGAAATGGTCTTCCCAGCACACACCTCATCTATGGCAATGAGATTTAGCAGCCCCCTAGTATAAATCTTTGTGAGCTTTGACATAAACCCTGGTGTTGCTATTAACTCTGGAGTCACATATAGCAGCCTTGTAGAAGGTTTTCCAGAATCAAGGTCCTCGTGAATCTTAAATCATAAAAGGTATAAATCACTTTCCTGAATCAATAACACTAGGGAACACTGAGGAATTGGGCACATATGGACTTAGCTCCTCTAAACTCTAACGTGAAGAGATTAGTAAAAAAGTAGGTTTTATGCAACACGGATTTCAATTATAACATTTTCATGAATATAAATTGATAGATAATTTCTCGCTTTACACACTATAAGAACTTTGGTATCATGGGGTGCCTAACTCCCAACATGGATAGGACTTTTGAGGGTGGGTTTCCCAAGTGTTTGGATACTTATCAATATCTCTTTACGTTAAAGGGGCTAAAGTTATTACACATGCATATATATTAATTTGGCATGGATTCTTTCCCTTTCCCCGAACAAAAAATACATTTATATACAGACAAAGACACTATTCATGTTAAATAGATGTACCAAACTAATTGCAATGTAAACAACTCCACGATCTGGAAAATATCATTGAGATTATTGTAATTGTTACATAACTTACACTTCTGTTTCACTTCGATATGTGTAGATATATTATCACAGTAAAGATAGCGATGAGCCTTGATGCAATAATAAAGTTACTTCCTTTTAAGGTGATAGAATCAGTCATGATTGAAATCCTAGTATCAGTCACACTGCACTGCTTCCAAGGCGAGACAGCTTACATCTAAACCAGACCCCACTATGTTTGATTATCGTGCATCAGATTGCCTATCATAAAAAGTCAGCATTTTAACAACTTACTCACCTTTACTTTAGCATCCGCTGTTTTTGTTGAGGAGAGAAAATCTGCTGCAATCCCTTTCTCTTTCAGTGCCATTACTTGGTTTTCCTAACTTGTAGAAAGGGAAAAAAATCAGCCAAAACAAACTCTAAACTCAGAAAATCAACATTTCTGAAAATCAAGTGAATTACCAAAAGATGCCTACCATTAAGGCTGTCAGCAGAACAAAAGTCAGACATCACAGTAGTATCCTAGCATAAAAAATTATGAGAATTACCAAGCAGCAACAAGCACAGCTAAAGACACAACATGTACACAAGAAGAAAGCCATCCACCTATTAAAGGAGATACAACGAGCACAATTCCTGGTTTTGCCAATGCAGGGATCTGATAACACATTGACTTGCCTCCCCCAGTCGGCATAAGACAAAAACAATCCTTTCCTGCATAAAAAGAGTCCAAAATCAATGGAAAATTCCAACTCAAATTACCATTCTTAAGCAAAGAGTCACTTTTAGTATAAAAAGAACAGGACTTGAATTGAAACCGTTACTTTACACTAATCAACAGTCTCTGAGGCACCAATTACTACAAAACACGAAGGAAAATATCATAGTTCACTTCTATGCTTGTAGAAAGGAAAAGGTGAATGCACCTGAAAGCACCGACTGAATAGCGTCCAATTGCATGCCCCTAAAATCAGGGTACCCAAAATGCCATCTTAGAAGCTTCACCAATGTTTCCTTGCTGCGCACTTCCTTCCTCTTTCTGTTCGCATTCGCGTCGCTCAGTGGCAATGTCGACTTCTTCTGCATTTCAGTTCCAACCTGCCAAATAAGAAAAAAAAAATTATCGACAAATTCTTCAGCGGAAGAATTAGGAATAAAATCCTTTGAAAGTGCACCGAAAGCTCGCACCTTTGATAGAAGGGTTTCGCAAATTGATCGGTGCAAAGCCTTTCGCGGGTTTTTCTTTCTTCCAATGGATCAAAAAAAAAAAATACGTGTGACGCGCTGTAAAAGAAAAGGGATAAAACGTTTTGTATTGAGGTACACTCCGCGGGGGCTTTTAAAAACCTGATTGTTAATATAAGATTTGCTCATAGGAGTACAAATGTGAACCATAAAAAGACCATGTGTCTCAATAAAAGAGAATAACAATACAAAATGGATACTTGTAGTTGAAAATGATTTCGCTAAGTGGATACTGTATCAAAAATTATTTGTCCCATTAAAAATAATATTGTATAATATTGTAATAATTAGAAAAAATAATGAATAATAAGTTGAATGTTTAGTTTTATTTAATTTTATCACAATTCTATAATATTGTATGAATCGTTTAATTCTGTTAAACTATATTTCATTGTGTGAATTTTAACAACTTTTAGTCAATGTACAAAAAAGTATTTATTTGTGAAGAAATAGTTTAAAATAAATAAAATATCACAACGAATGAATATTTTCTCGTGACAATATTTATTTTGTAAATATTTGTGACGAGCAACACTTTATCATATAAGTTGCTATAAAATTATGTTGATAATAAAATGTTGTAATGTCAAATGTTGTTTACTAAAATTATATATCACAAACGTCTTTATAAAATGTAATTTTTTTTCTTAAGTGGCAAATAAAGAGTTCTTCACTTATGACAAATACATTGACATTATAAACCAAAAATTTATAAGAACAAATCTGAAAATATTATAAGAGAAAACATCTTTAACAAAAAAAGTTAAGTTATTCTAAACGAGGGTAAACTTTTGTTTAAACAATGTTAAGGAATCACTTAAACGAGTATTCATAAGTGGTTAAAAGATTATCCTTATTTAAGTGTTGTTTGATGAACATCAACACTTAAGCACGTGATTATTGGTATTTCAACAATGAAACACAATAAAGTTAAGATTCTCTTACTCTTTGAGTATTATCGCTTAAATGAGTATTCAAAGGCCTATAAGCTATTTTTGTGAAAGGTAAAAAAGAAATGATATTATGTCTATTGAAAACATAAAACATCAATTATGTCTATTGAAAATATAAAACATCAATTAAGCAAACAAGATATATTATCATAATTATAATCACTCATTCAAATATTTATTAAACAATTTTGTATAAAACATAAACTAAAGAAAAAGAATCATGCTATTGTTAAGAAATTAAAATTAAAATAACAACTTCCTTTTTTTTCAATAAATAACAATGAAAAATTGTAATTGAATAAATTTCAAAATAAAAAATAAAGTAAGATGTTATGATAATTTAACAAATAGAGAAGTATGAAAACTAAACAGACATGTACATATTTATATCTATTTCAGTATACAATTTACAAAATTAGATATTACTAACATTTATAACCATATGAATATTTTCTATTGACATAGTAACACATTCAAATACTACCCAAAGATACCAATTTATTTATCATCATTATGAATTTTTTTATTTATTTTAATTTACTAATCTGAGTTCACTAATTATAGAACTTAAGTCTTTCTCATTCAAATAATTATCTTCTCCACTTTGATAGTCACATCCATTAATTCCCTAGTTCAACCATAACTTTGTTATTTTCTTATTTTTACATAATTTTCAATCAAGTCCTCCCAAAATGATATATTCTTCCTTTTCCAACACGAGGATTGATTTTCTAACTGTCTCATAATTGTTTTTCCATATCCACATTTTATTTATTTTATCTTTATTACTATAAATTATTTTATGAATTTATTTTTAAAATTTTATAATTATTTTTTAAAATTGTAATTGATTATTTCTAATAAAATTATACTTATTTTTATCAATATTGGTTAATTTATTATTTCATTCTTTAAATTGTATAATTATTTTTTAAAATTTAATTAAGTACCTAAAATAAAATTATAAAAATTATTTATTTTCTATATTATTTCTTTTATTAATTATGATGAAATCAGGGCATGCACCTTGTCCCCCATCCAAGATAATATATACCTTTCTCCCAACTTTTCGACAACTTTATCGTTTAGTCATGTGTTCTCCATCTATCCCACCACGTTTCCTTGAAAGAAATTTGTACCACATTGCAAATTTAAAATTTTTAAAAAAGAAATTAGGTGGAAGTTAACAAAAATATATATGTGATAAATAATAGTGCTGATTTGGACTTTGATTTTCTTTTTAAAACAAAAATACTTATTTAAGTAAAATAATTTTCTGTCTAATTTATATACACTTTTACCCCACTTTTATTATAGGGAGAAAAAAATGTAGCCTAATTACTTATTGGTGTACAACTAATATTTTATTTCATGAATTGCTTTATTTTTTGGGTAAAATGTTGATCGAGCAGAAGACTTTATTACACGTGCTTCCTAAGATTATCAATCACACAATAGAATCGATTTTTGATTTCTTTTATTTATTAAAGCTTCTTTTCTTGTATTTTAAATGGTTCTAAGCCAAACAATTAAATTATAGTAAATAAAAATAATTTTAAATAAGGTATAAACTCAATTTTAAAATTAATAACAGTAAATTAATTAATTAAAAATGTAAGAATTTAGATAAAATATTAAAGTTACTAGATGTTTTGAAATAGTAAGAAAGGATATTTTAATTATAAAATACTTTAATAATATAAATATAATTTTTTAAACTCGTCTTATTATCTAAAATATTACCATTTTTTAAGACTATTTCTCCGAGTTTTCTCTTCCTTCTTTTTACAAATTATAACTCTCTGATATCTGTTTGACGATAAAGATGTGCCTAGGAGATCATCGCAGTGCGTTCCCCAATATCTATCGATCAGTTTCTATTCTAGAGCAAGTAGGTTTTAGTTTAGTTTTCCTTTCACACTTAGTTGAGGCCATGCATAAGGGTTTTTCCTTCGCATGTGTCGTTTGACTTTCTTTTCTTGTTTCCTGTTGATTAGAGGTGTTAAGAACTCTCTTTGATCACAATTCTATGTCATGTAGATGTTTCTAGAGTTTCGTGAGCTCTAAGCAAGGGTAGTGCACCGTGTAGAACTTGGTTGTATTTCTCTTTTAAGGTAAGGAGAGCTAGTTATCTTTCTTTAAATTATGTTTGTTGTGGAAGTTTGGTTTAGGTTGATCTAATTATAATTACAATATCTATGTTAGTGTTAAGTTCATTTAAACAGGTGTAATTAATTATTTGATGATTGATTTCTGATATGGTGTATTTCAGATGTGATTACTACAATGAATGGTGTGTTATGAAGTTTATTGATGTTGAAATTGGTTGAAATGTTGCAGAGAAATGAGTTATCAAAGTTATAGGTCTTTCTAAGTCAAAAATGGAGGTTTGATGGGTGAGTTTTAAAAGTAAGGGTCTAAGAGGAGGATCATTGATTTAGGATGTGTTGAGAGGTCATTTAAAACTTGTTGGTACCTTGAGTTGGTAAAAAGAGATAGGATGAAATAAGGTGATTTTTGGAAGGTTTCAAGTCCTATTTTAGGGGTTTTGGGTAGTAAGATTATGATGTTGAAGGTTTGGACTGAATTAGATAATTTAGGGTTTGTTGTTAAACCATTTCTAACTTGTTTAGATCATTAGAATGTTAAACTTTGCATGAGAATGGTAAAATTTGGGTGGGTTAGAGTATGTAAAATGAGTGTATGGTATCCTTTTTAAGTTAGAAATAAGTTCTTAAGTTAGGAAAATGTATAAACCATTTGAAGAGGTATAGAGAGCATCCAAGATAAAAAAAAAATAGGGGTAGGAAGTGTTCTGGTGTGGCGCCCAGTTGCAAGGGAGTAGTGCTTAGGTGCAAGAGGAATGATGCTCATCGGCAGGAGGGTGCCGCTCAACGCCACTCTACAAGGTTTTCTTCCTTTGTTTTCTAGTCCTATGGCTTTTGTGGTTTATTCTGAGCTTTGAGGTGTATCTTGTGACATGTTTTTGGTATGTTTTATGTGTGCTACCAATGGTTTGAATGAGGATTGATGTATGTTTCAAAGTGATGGATTTAGAGTTTCTAAGGAGGAATTCTAAGTGTGGTATAAAGTGTTGTTGGTATGAATGCAAGGAACTTAGTTTTGGGGGTTATCTTGACACTTTAATGATCATTCATTCTCAATTAGAAATGAGTGATATATGTGGTGAGAGTAGTAGGAGGTCTTAGTCTATGTGCTTCTAGTATGTCCTAAGACATGGTATGGACTAATCTTGTGAGTGTGGTAGGGTGAAACCTATTGGCAATGGTTCTGCAAAGCAATAGAGGTCACCATAAGTACATAAATTGTCATAGCTCGACATTCATACTAAATTCGGATAGTCTAGTCTAGGTCTTTGACATGATTAAAATGTTTGATCTACTTTATGTTAATTGTAATGTATGTATGACATGTTAAGATATATGATATGATTATTTTTGTATCACTAACTTATCGTGTTTGTTTGTTCTTGTGCTTGTGTATTCTTATGAATTTGTGTGTTTTGACGATGATCATTTGGTGGGTGTGAACAGAGGGTGTGACTTGTCTCTGGAACAAACATTAGGTGAAGATAATGCTTATGTGTAGTTGTAGTATTTATTTTATTTTTCTTTTGGTTGTATTTGAGATCCTTTTGTACATAGTTTTGTATTAGGATTTTGTATATAAAATTAGATTTTTTTTATTATGTTTAAAAAATTGAATCTAAACTTTATATGTTTTGTTAATTGTTCTATTGTATTATACCTTTGATAATTCCTTAATAGTATTTTAGATTATTTAATTAGGATGTTACAACATGAAGCATTTATATACACAAAAAACAAAACATTAATTAAAATCTAAAATATTTAAAAAATTCAAAATATGCATTGTAACTTAAAAATAAACATAGGCATATAATGTGGTTAGTTTGGTGGGAATTGGGAGGAACAATAATTTAAGCGACAAATCTATAACTTTTCTGTTATAAATAATATTTATAATATAAATACTCCAAATACTCTGTTTATAGATATATAATATAAGTTTGCTAATAGAAAAAACTTGAGACACTGCCAAACAAATACTTCTTTAAAGGATTATCTTTCCTTACCTTCAGTCAACACTCATGTTCTTAATAGCATGTTTGAATAAAATAATTTAAAAGAATAATTAATTTATTTGGTAAATTTATTTTTTTCAGAAGAAAATAGTTGTTTGGATGAAAAAATAAAAAAAAAATAATTAAGATTTTCAATAATAAAAACAATAGAATTGAAAATTTATTAAAGAAAAGGAAATTAAAATTCTACAACTATGCACTTCCTCTTAATACAAATTATGCATAAACAAACATATTTCAATAATTAAATTTAATTATTATTTCATAAATTTTTATTTTGAAATACATGGTTTTGAAATAAAATTTCATTTAAAAAAATTTAATTTCTTTGTCCAAAATTTTAAGTAAACTATTTAAAGAATAAAAATAATTTCAATTTAATATAAAGTTATTTAAATATATTGAAATCTATCATCAAAAATACAATGTAATTATGGGGTAAAAAAAAATAACAAAAGTAACCATAGTTTTTCTTAAAACAATTGAAGTTTAAACTTGTTTACAAAAATAGGTAGTGGATTCTTAAGTTATTTTGAACTCTATTATCCCAAATAACACTTTTTATTTTATTTATAATAGTGGAAATACATATATGATGTGTATATGTACTTTTTTTTTATAAAAAAAAATATTATTATTATAATCAAAAGATAAATATTATTAAGTTTTACAATTTTATTGCATAGTTTTATTTTATTTTATAGGTGAGTTTTTATTATGATAGTTTTTTAATTAAAAAAATATTAAAAAATAGTCAAATAAAAAATTATTAAATTATTAAATTTAGGGAAAACGATTATTTACAAGATAAAACTGATAAATAATTATTTTAAGTTAAAAATTGGTTAATTAAAAGATAAATTTAAAAAAAAAATGTTTACAGAAAATCTTCTTCACGTAATAGTGTAGATAAAAAAAACGATTACTTAACAAATAAATTTGAAAAAACATGAACATAAAGAATCCTTTATATAATAATATATGATATCTATTCATAGACCTATAAATAAGTACTCATTGGAGATGAAATTTGTCCTTTGACTTGTAATTTGAAAATAAACCACCATTTCAACTAATTAATTCTGAATATTTCTAAAACAAAATTTGGATTATGATATTATTAATTAAAGTTAACTATTAATATTATAGAGGAATTAAAAGGAAGTAATTCAATTATTTTATTGATATGAGTACTTGATTATTTTGTTGAAAAGACAAAAAAGCTTTTGGATTATTTAAAACTTACAAAATCTAACCTAACATCTTTCATAAAAAAAAAACCATAAAGTTGGGTGACAATCCCTAGCTCTACCTGTGTGAGAGTAAGATCGTACATGGCTCAATTTCAAAACAGTAAAGTCGAACAAAACACTTTACAAAATGGAAAATTAATTAATTCAACTAATAAAATTAATCACCTTTTCTTAAACAATACTTTCTTAGAAAGTGTCTATTTTTCTTTAACCATCATCATTTTTTCATGATACGTAAACAGTAATTAGGAATCAACAATTACCACACTAAAAAAAGTTAAATTTTAACAAAGGTAGATTTTATTAATATGAAATGAATTCTAGAAATTTCAAATTTAAAACAAAAACTTAAAAAAAAAAACTAAACAATACCTAAACTAAGTCATCTTAGTCTATTTACTCACTAATGTTCAAATCAAAGATCCTAACAAATTGCTTCCACCGCGAGCCTCTTCACAATATTTCCACAACTTGTTACTCCAAAAGTGTTTTCTGAAACATCAATGATGCACGATTCCTTGCCCACACATGCCTACAAAATCCCATAACGAATAAATTCATCATTTCATGCAAACCATAATCAGAAAGAACCAAATGAAAATGAATGAAAAACTTACATTATGTACAATGGACAAAACATCATTTTTGCTTTCACAACTTCCTTGTTTAAATGTGCCACATTCACCTTCTGGATTGCCAAAATTTGCAAACTTTATATCCGAAATGGGACGTCCATGGCAAGACAATTCCAAACTCTTGTTCTCGTGAGTGTTTCCACAAGCAGACCCAACAACTACGGTTTGGAAATTCACCAGAGATGGATTGCCACCAATTTCCTCAAACAAAACCAATGTGTTTACATCATCTTGAATAAAGGAGCGAGGAACATGGTACCTAGATTAGTTCAAACAATGAATCAAATGTTATAACAAATAATTAACATTAGAGAAAAACATCATGTGTGTATAGGATATATGTATATATGTATATATGTATATAACTAACCATCTTTGTGTGGGTTGGCCACAATTGGTAACGCATTTTCTATCGCTATATTCACCACGGTAGTCACAAGGATCATCACTGCAACCATCCTCACCTGCATCATAACTAGGCCATGTACGACCAATATTATGGCCATTCACCCAAGCAAACCCTTTTCCCATTCCTTGCATATCCACAACAAGGGGCTCTGACCCAAGAGGAGCTTTAAAAGTGGTCTAAAAAATTGTAAAAAAAACATAAAATGTTATCACTTTAATTATTAGTTTAATTAAAGAGGGTGCCAATTGTATACCATTGAAAAACAACTTACCTTGTACCAAGTCAACATTCTCTTTGTTGGCAAGTAGTTAGATTCCCATTTGGAAGCAGAAGCATAGGGAGAGTCTTCACGAAAGAATTTGTTGTCCCAACCATGCAACCCAACCTTGTAAGACCATTTGTTCGAGGATAGATCTTTGACAACAGTTTCATCATCTTTTTTGCTTATTACACTAATGGGCCCAATGAGACCAGCGCTCCATTTATCATAGTTTGGTCCATAGTTCTATTGAACATATTGTCATACATTAAATCATTGACAATTGTTAAAATTTTATCCATGACTGAATCTGAATCATATAATGTATTATTATTAACAACACTATACCTGTAGTCCAACTGTGACACTGAGGAGACTGATAATATTCTTTCCTTGCATCAACTTAATTTTAGTCTCAAATTCATAACTGCGGATACCATATGTAGCCCAATGGGAACCTAAAACCATCACCAAAATATAAACCATGTTATTCAATTAAATCAACTTTGGTTAACAAAGAACAATATTGAAAGTGATGATTAACATATTAGAGATAGATAATATTACCAATATGTTCTCCATTAACGAATGCATGAATTACGTGACCAGTGCCATTGATTCTAAGAGACATATTATCTGACAAAACTGGATCACTTTGATCGAGATCAAGTCTATATAACATGGAAAGAAAAACTTGTTAGAAACTTTTGAATAGAGAGAAACAAAAGATATGAAATTAAATTAAGAGTGTATTTACCTTGTCATGTACCAAACATAATCACTAGCATCAGAAGCAATTATTTTTTGATCAACAAGTCCATTTGTAGAGAAATTTCCTTTGCCAAGGAGAGCATCATCAATATTCTCAGCTCTCCACACCCAATTCAAAGCTATAGGTTCATCTTCTGCTTTGTTTTTACCCTTTATCATGACAGAGGTTTGGACATTCACCTACTCATGAAAAAAATAACAATTTATCGTAAAGAACAAATAAAGCAGCATTTGGTTAATTAATATATTAAGAAAAGAAAATAGAAGGTTATGATACCTTGGCTGTGTTATATTCTTCGGTTTGACAATCAGGAAGAAGACTGACCGACCAAGCAGGAACATTATATTTGTTTCCTCTAAATGTTACTATGGCATCAGTGGTGGTGTTGGTGTTAGTCAAGAAGCAACTTGATGAATCATTTG